TTTACATCGACCCTTTCTAATGGATCTGGGCAAATGTGAACAGCCCTGTATGATAAAGGGGTGAGGAGTTTGGAGGCTTGAGGGAAAATCCAGGAGACGGAGATGTGAACTGGCTGACTGGATACCATGCAAGGGAAAGAAAAGATAAAAAATGATTCACGGAGTGATCGAAGTGAGACAGGGACTTGGGAGGAAAGAACTGCTCAAGTAGGCTTCCAGGTTGTCTGCTCAAGTAGGCTTCCAGGTGGGGTGTGTGGGATTAACATTCTCCTCCATCACCCCTGTGATACCTGCAGTAAATTCTGCATTTCACACCGATGGTTGTGCAGCTATGGGTTCTTGGTGGGGAAATGGAGCAGGGTAAGGGGACAGCTCGAATCTAGGTTATACTCCATCTGCTCCCAATATGGTTTCCTTAGGGTCTCTGATTGATGTCCAAGGCTACTCTCCATGTGTATGTTTTCATGTTTCCCTAGACACATCTAATTGTGTAATTATGTAAGAAATACATACGTGGCAAGGGGCATAGCATTCTGTGACGTGTTCATATATGTGAACGCAGGATGTTTTCATTTATGTACATGTATAAACACATCTGTGCACTGTGTATGACTCTGGATGTGTAAGCTGTGTGCATGACTGTGGGTGTTTGTGCCAGGGTGTGGGGCTTGTGGCTATTTTCCAGAGATGGCTGCCATGATACATCCCATCCCTCATGTTCTCCTTACCATATGATGTCAACTTCTTCTATAGAGAGATAATCTCTCTTTCCTTCTCCTTCAATGTGGACAGACCTCTGTGACTCCCTCAACCAATAGAACATGGCAGAAAAGATGCTATGTGACTTCTGAAGCTAGATCATAAAAATATCATGCACTTTTATGTTTTGTTCTCTTGGGATGCTCATTGTTAGAAACCAGCTACCAAACTGTGAGGAGGCCAGGCAGCTATTGGGAGAGGCCACTTGCCAGTGTCCTGGCTGACGGTACCAGTTGAGGTCCCAACTGACAGCCAGCATCAACTGCCAGCCATGTGAGTGATCATCTTGCCTTCAATGAACCATGCCAGCTGACAGTGCACAGAGCAGAGTTGATTCTTCCCTGCCAAGCCCTACCCAAACCGCTAAATAAACGATTGTTTTGGGATGCTTGGTTATGCAGCAGTGGATAAGGGAACAGGGTTGTAGCTGTGTTTGCCCTAACTGTGTGTGTGTGTTTCTGTGGTTCCCTGTCTTTGTGGGTGCCTGCATTTTTGTCAGATGTCTGTGTCCCTGAGTAGGTGTGTGGTTGAAGGTGTTTCTGGAGACAGAATCATGGTTCTTGGGGTTTTGCCCTGGCCTCGGTGGGAGCTGTTTGGTTAGAACCCTTTGAAATCTTGTCTGTCTTGTAGGTCTCTTCTTTTGAGTGCTTTTCTTTTGAACTAGAGAAACCTGTTTAGCTGAGAGCAAATGCAGCTTAAATTTACTGATTTCTCTGGCTGAAGCCCCCTGGAGCTGCCAAGGCCTTCTAACAGGTTAGAGGCTGCCATACAGAGCCTCACATCCCTTTCACAAGGACTGTTTTGTTATTTTTTTCTTTTCTGCTAATGAAGCCTTCAGAAATGAACCAGAGACAGAGGAAAATACAGTCACTGGGGTCCTTGATGTTTCCCGGAGTTGAGATACCTAGAATTCCTGAGTTCCCCCAAGGAAGCTGCTTATGTGGGCTCAGATGTGCCCAGATTTTAGTGTAGAAATCATCTGGTTTCTTCCCTGCTGTGGCTGCTGCAACCCACACCATCTGAGTGCAGCCCAGGAAGTAGAGGACCCTGGTTTAGAAGGCCAGTTCCTCTTGGTCTCCTTGGCAGTGCCCTTCAGCTTCTTGCTTCTTCTATGTTGGCGGCCCTACTCAGCTTTTCTGGGAACACCAAGGGCTCTGACTTCACATTCCTGTCCTCTCACTGCCTCTCAGGACCTCTAAAGTGCTATTGTCCAAATGAGCTTTCTGTGATGACAGAAATGTTCTATAATCTGTGCTGTCTGATATGGTAGACATTAGCCACATGTGGCTCTTGAGCACTTGAAATGAGGCTACTGTGACTAAGGAACTGAGTTTTAAATTTTATTTCATTTTAATTAATTTAAATCTAAATACTACATGTGGCTATTTGCTAACATATTGGAAAACATAGATCTGATGAGTTCAAGGAGTTTTTTTAAATCTGTAAAATGGGAATAAAATCTGCCCCCTCTGCCTCACAGGGCTGTGTGGAGCAAACATGATGAATGGGGAAAAGATGTACTCACATAAGGGATTTGGAAAGAAAGACAGCAATGTGAACTGAGTGGGCTTCTTATAGCTCTGTTAATACTTCTGTTTTATAGTCCTTGTTGGACTGTGTTGATCTGATCTGTTTACATTTCTGTGTCTCTTATCTGACCATGAGCTCTTTGAGGGTAAGAACCCAGTGGGACTATTTCCCAGCTGTATCCCCATAGCCAATGGATGGTATGTAGCTTGGTATTCATAGTCAAGTGAATAAAATGGCTGGAGTCCAGAAGGGATTTCTGGCAGCAGGATTTAAAGTGTATGGTAAGGGGCACCTGGGTGGCTCAGTTGGTTAAGCGTCTGCCTTTGGATCAGGTCATGATCCCAGGGTCCTAGGATCAAGCCCCGCATCGGGCTCCCTGCTCAGTGGAGAGCCTGCTTCTCCCTCTCCCTCTGCCTGCAGCTCTGCCTACTTGTGCTCTCTATCTCTTTGTCAAATAAATAAATAAAATCTTTTTAAAAAGCTGAGGCGGGAGGGGTACAGAGAGGAGGAAGCAGGACAGGACAATATGGTGGTGAGAGAGCTGGGGCTCTTGCCCCCCATGCTCAACATTCTAGGCCCATCCAGAGAGAGCAGGGAGCCGATTCCTGATGCCAGGAACGCTTTCACACAACTGGGTATCAGGCTTATGGGAGCTTACCTGAGAATGGCTGATCAGAGGAGAAATGATCTACTCAACACATTTTGCTTGTTGAGGGAGGCTAGATCATTTAAATCTCTGCCTAGCAGGGCTCTGGGGATGGATGCTGTAGTTTCCTTTGATTGATGGTGGCCAGGTTGAAGGTTATTTCTTAGGCTTTCTACCCTTCCAAGGTTCTGCTCCTCTGAGGAGTGGAAGAGGGATCTTCATAGCTCTCCGATAAAGCTGCAAGAAGAGGTGGATTTTTGTTTGTTGTTTACTTATTTAAAAGGAAATTTAAAACTTATTTCTGCCCAATTCCAAGAGTAGTAGAAGGAAACAGAGAAGACTTCTGTGATCCCACCACCCACTCTGTTCCCTGGACTTCAAACTTCTCACTTTTACAGTGGTCCTCCTTGTTTGCAAGCTGTGAAAGTAGGGGCTGTCTGCCTAGGCCTAGCCTTGCACACTGGTTTTAGCAGCTGAGGAGGCTTGAGCTCAGAGCTAGGTCTCCTGGGAAGGTGGTTCTCAGGTCTTTTCAAGGTTTTGGGGACTAGTGGGACTCAGAATTTCCCTTCCCCACACACTTTATCTTGTTAGATCTGTCCCAAGAACGAAGCCAGGCTCCTGTGTCCAGCTGGACTCTTCTCTTGGCCCATGCATTTATTTATTCATTCTAACATTTGAGCTTATTATATTTTTAGGCATATTACTCTTGTAGCACTTTGTTAATGTCTTTTTATAACTTGCATCAGGTTCGATTGTAATTTATATATTCATTCTGTGAATTACCATTGATGCTCTAGATATTTTTTGAACATTTATTATATATCCTCATGGTACTAGGCAGTGACACAAGCTAGAATTATTCCTGGGCTACTCTTGCTAGCCTCCTGGGTGTTCCATGGAAAAAGTGAGCTGATACCTGTCCTCTCCCACCCAGTCCCAGGAAAGTGACCCATGTAGACCTTTCTGAAAAAAACCTGGCACTTCCCACTCAACTATTGCCCAAAGGCTTGTTCTCCTTCCCCAGGCTACTAACCAAAGTTTGCTCACAGCTGCAAAGTCAATTTCCCATCTGTTTGAAGTAAATATAATCAAGAAAGTAGATCAACTGCTAGAAGCCCACATAATACATTGGAAATGGAAAAGAACTCGAGGCCGGTTGATTGTTTCCTCTTGGAGAATACCTGCTCTTTGGCTGAAGTTACTGCTTGTTTGGATTGTCGTTTTCTCCACTCCTGAATGTCCGGGAATCACTGTGTCTGGACTCTTAGGGCCTGAGGGAGCAGTCCATTTTACTAGTCAGGTTAAACTCCTCTGGTGAAGGGTAGGTCTTATCATGGAAAGCGAAGGGGACTTTGGGAGGCACCCAAATCTGGCTTACATTCTCAGTTTTATTACTTCCTGACTGTATGATCTTGTACAAGTTCTTCAACTTCTTTGAGCCTTAGCTTCCCCATCTATAAAAAGGGGATGACAGTTCTGATCTTTGGAAGTTATTAGAAGTAAATATATATGCAGCACCTGGCACATAAGAGATATTCAGGGGTAGAGCAGAATTGAGCTGTGGATGACTATAACTTTGAAAATGATTGGTCGTTGTCAATTCACACAGTATATAAATATAAAAAATAAATGACTTGCTGGTGACCTATCAGCACGAATTTTCAAAGGACTATTTTTACTGCTCGAGACTCAGATGTATCCCATTCTGAGTGGCAACAGCTTGATTTATCTTTACTCCTCACGTCCTCTGGTTTCCTTCTGTTGTTCCTTCCGCTACAAAGAAATTAGACTGTTGGGAAATCAGAGATGAAACTTCGAAGTCCCATTTTGGTCTGGCTTGGAAGCAAAATCAGGTCCGTGGGGATCTCCTTCAGATGACTCTCACTCCGGCGGAGGGATACAGGGGAAAATCACTCCATCAGAGGTGCCGCTAGGAGGCGGGACTTAGCAGAAGCGGGGAGAGAGGCGGGGCTTAACAACTAGGGAGGGAGGCAGCCGCACATCTTTCTGGAAGGCGGCAATAGGGCGAGACGGCGAGTGACGTAATAACTGAGCGCTCACAGCTTCAGAGGGTCGCCGCCGCGTCTGCGCATGGGGAGCTGGTTGCCGCTGCAGCCGCCTGGAATTGTGGGGGTTGTGTCTGCCCCTCGGCTGCCGGGCGGGAAGCCGAAGGTAGGGGCGGTGAGGGCCACTCGGCCCTGGCGCTGGGCGGGGGGCTCCGGGCGCTGTCCGAGCCTCCTCCCACCAGCGGCCCCGGCGCCTTCCCAGCACTGTACCGGGGTCCCCACACAGGACCTCCCCCCAAATACATCTCGTTCCTCCAAAGCGGGGACGACCAAGTGAACCCTGGCCACAGCCCAGGAGTCGCCTTACCTACCTTTTCTGTTCAGGTCGTCTCCAGTAACTTTTCTTAAGTGCCAGGAGATGAGGCGGTGGGGATTCCGAGACTAGTTTTTGATTCTCTGTTTCATCTTCCTTCCCTGTTTCCTTATTCCACCCTCAGTTTCTGCATCTAACCGCTTCTTTGTTGACATTCTGGTTCTTGGCCAAGGCCTCTATGTCTCTTCACCATATGGAATTGCCCTCTACCCGCGTCGTATTTCCACGCCTGACTTGTGTTTTCCTGTTTCCCGGTAGATGGAAGACTTGTCTTTGAAGTACGGATTTCAGACTTTGGTGTTTTTCAAATCACCTAGGAGGTTGTGTACATCCCTGGCCTCTACTCAGTGATTTCATTTAAAGTGGAGTATGGGCACCTGCAGTGCTCCCCAGGTGATTCTCTTTCTGATGGTCCTGAAATTCTTGCTTTGAGAGTCTCTCCTGTAGAAGACTGGAGGGAATCCGTTGGTATATGAGCTCCTGAAATGGGGCTCTAGGTGGGAAAGAACACCTAACACCTGGGAGGCCAGTGGGGGTTTCTTTGCACTCTAGAAGCTAGAGGGATGTTTGATGTCTTTAGAAAAAATATTGCCCCCCATATGTAATGTCAGTTTTCTACTAAAAAATTTAAAATATCTGGCATTGATTCAAGCTTGTGTGGCTTTCTGACCTCACTAAAACAAAACAAAACCACAAACTGCTTTGGGGGACTGAAGGGGTTAGATTAACCCAGAGTAGGTAGGCAGTAGAAGAATGAATCTTAAATGTTTGCTAAGAAAATAAACCGATGTGTTTATAAACAGTAATAATGTTTGTTTTGACAGTGTAAAAGATGTTTTGTTTTATATCTGTGTGTCTTTTTAGCTCTCCACCCAAACTTTTTTTTGTTGTCTGATAAAAATATAGCCAGATTTGGGGTTTGGACAGGATTTTGATGGGAGCCAGGGTATGAGGATGTTAGGATTGATGTATAACATGGACTGTAAGTTGGTGTGTGGTTTCAGTTGAGAATTTGGCTCTTAGGTTTTTTTTTTTTGCTAGATTTATTTTTTCCCTCTTTAATACCCATCACCAGGCTAACCCATCCCCCCACCCCCCTCCCCTTGGCTCTTAGGTTTTTAAGAAGGTGTTGTCACACCAGATTTATGTTTTCCTTTTGGTTTAATGAATTTAATCTGCTAATTATGTGGTGTTATGATGAAATTGGCTACGGAAAAGACTTATTGCCCCCATTTTGCAGAGGGTGGGAATGGGGAATATGTTAGTACAGCTGTGGTGACCCAGGAATGAAAAGTTCCCTTGTTCTTGGATTCCTGCTTTCTTGACCTTTTCTGATGTCTTTGGAGACCAGTTGTTCTCTGCAGAGGCCAACTTTGAGCCTTGGTGTGTTTCATTGACCCAATAAAAGGCTAATTAAGCAAACTGAAAAGTTAACATGGGTTTTGAAATAAGCATGCTAGAACTTTTTCATTGAGTGCTGTTCTCCTTTAGTGTGGTATGTGTAGGTGTGAGTGGTGGGAGTGTGGCCTTATTTAAGTGATATGTCATTGTCCAAAGCAGTTTTGAAAATCTACCTCTGAAATTGTCTTCAGAGACATTTTTGAGCCATGTTAGTGATCAGTTTCATTAATACATAATACCATACTGTTGGCTTTTTTTTTTTTTTTTTTACCCCCAAGTGGCTTGGTTAAAGCAACCTTGTCACCCGACTTATCTTTAGATGAGTAAAAAGTTCTTTTGAAGTGGACATGATAGATTTTTGGTGTGTGGTGAACATGTTTTGAATCTATCACTTATTAGCCATATGATCTTGCACAAGTCACCTCTTAGGCTCAGTTTTCCACTGCATAAAAATGGGAATACTGGAGCACCTGCCTGGCTCAGTCAGTGGAGCATGGGACTTTTGATCTTGGGGTTGTAAGTTCGAGCCCTATGTTGGGTGTAGAGATTACTTTAAAATTCTTTAAAAAAATGGGAATGCTTACTTGGAAGAATGGTTAAGTGAGGAGGAACACATTAATGACAGGAATGCAGTAAATGTTTCTACCATCAAAGAATGAAGATTTGCTATTAATGAGAACAGTTTTTGAAAAATGAGCCTCTAAAGGCAAGTTGTATCTTTTTCCAAATAGGTAAATGCCTTTCAATTCTGTTATCTTTGTCGATTCATGCTCTGACCTCATCCTACTTCTTGTCTTTTTTTACCCCCACTCATTTTCTATCCTTTCCTCAGTGAAGCTGTGTTGCAGAGGCTGTCTGCCAGTCTGTTGGAGTAAGCCTCTTTTCAGGAGAGCTAATCGAAACATTCTTAAAATGCTAGCCCCTTGGTCGTGTATTCCTAGGGATTTTTCTTTGGGGCCGCAGCTGGTGCTTAGCTCACGCTCTATAGCACAGGCATCTCTAACTCCTGGATTTGGTGTCAATTCGGAGACCTGTCTTTGTGAGGCTAATCTTTTCTCTTTCTGAACAAGGATGACTACTTTATCCTTCTCTGAGTCAGTCTTAAGCTGCAGGCCTTAGTTTTTCACAGCACAGAGCTTCTTATTTTATTTTTTTTAAAGATTTTATTTATTTATTTGAGAGAGAGAGAATGAGAGATAGCACGAGAGGGAAGAGGGTCAGAGGGAGAAGCAGACTCCCTGCTGAGCAGGGAGCCCGATGCGGGACTCGATCCCGGGACTCCAGGATCATGACCTGAGCCGAAGGCAGTCGCTTAACCAACTTAGCCACCCAGGCGCCCCAGAGCTTCTTATTTTAGTTATATGTGGTCTAAAGGAGCAGTATCCTGCCCTTTTCTTCATGTTCTTTCACCAAGGGCTTCACTGCTGAGTAGGGAGGAGGAGAATAGCCCCTTGCCATTCAGGTGGGGCTTTGGGTAACCCCTGATTCCTAGCATCAACAGTAATTGAGTTTGCCTTTGGAATAAGAACCTTGTAAAAGATAGAAGCTGCTCAGGACACATGTGAAACTTCTCCCAGAATTTTACTGACTTAGGAAGGGTTTACACTTGGCATCCTTCCTTGTGCTATTTTCCACCTTGGGGACAGTATCTAGGAGCCGCAGAATTATGTTCAGCACACACTTGTAGTTCTTTCAGGTTCCAACTGGTGGCGCGTGGGTAAGGGTGTGGTTGTGTTGGCTGGCCATGTCTGCTCTCATCCTCCTAACAGTACCCTTGGCTGTGGTGGTTTAGGCTTTGAGATGTGTCTTAGTCAGTTATTGGCTGCTGTAATAGAATACCATAGACTGGGTGGCTTAAATAGCAAACATATTTCTCCCCGTTCTAGAGATTGGAACTGTGAGATCAGGGTGCCAGCGTGGTTAGGTTCTTAAAGGTAGTGGGTCAGCTCTTTAGACATCTAATCAAGTGATTCTCAACCTTTTGTTCACTATCACCTTTTGAGACTTTTTCCCCTAATTGTCCCCTCCCCATGGAATTTTAATACCACAGATATACCATGTATCTACTTATACTGTGGCCCTTTGGAGGGCCATAAACTTAACAATATCTAAGATTTTTCTTCCCGAAGAATCATTCCCTGTCCTGCTTGGGGGCGATACTGCCCTCATTGAGAATGCATGGTCTTACCTATATTCTCTCTCTAATACAGCCATCAAGGCATGTTTTATACCCAAAAGATCCAGCTGTTACCACCCCAACACCAGACTAGTAAAAGTGGGAGAACATTATCTCATCCAGTCTTCCAATCAACCTTGTGAAATAATTGGTATTACCCCATTTTACAGAAGAAAAAAATAGGCTCAGTGAAGTTAAGTGACTTGGCCAAGGTCAAAAAGTTTGTTGTAGCCAGGCTCTCAACCCAGTTGTGACACCACAGTGATTTCTTTTGCACTATGCTACCCTCCTCCTCTCAACATGAGCCTGCTCTCATCAGCAGGATGTTTGACCATTCACCTTATTAAGGCCCTCCTAGGTGCTGGGTCCAGTGGAAGATATTGAGGACACTAAAGTGAGAAAGAATTCCTGCTCTTGAAGAGCTCACTAAGTTTTCCCAAGGTGTAGTGCCTTAGGTCTAGTTCCCTTGTTACCCATTCTGTTTGACTTCTGAGATGGCTGGCAGTAGCTAAGGGCTGTCATGGAAAGATTTGAGGTAAAATCTTTGGCCTTTATAAGGATCAAAGCTGTGAATATGTCCCTCCTGGTTCCATTTGCCAAACAGCTGAGCTGTTTCTAATCACTGAGCCTGTTGCCTAAAGTGTGTTGCAGGCCCAGGAAACTCCTTGGCCATTACATGTTTCTAAGCATGGGAATTAGTAAGAATGCCATTTCTGCTTTTCTTAATGATATTCCTTTTTTTTTTTTTTAAGTTTTATTTATTTGACAGAGCACAAGTAGGCAGAGCTGCAGGCAGAGGGAGAAGGAGAAGCAGGCTCACCACTGAGCAGGGAGCCCAATGCGGGGCTTGATCCCAAGACCCCGGGATCATGATCTGAGCCGAAGGCAGCTGCTTAACTGACTGAGCTACCCAGGCACCCCTTTTTAATGATATTCCTAATTCAGAGCAGAAGTTGTTTTGTCCTTTTCTGATGTTACTCCATATTGTCTGCCTCAAAACCTAATGCCGTTAAGGGAGTTGGAGAAGAAATGGAATATGTGTGGAGGTAGAGGTGGGAGGGATCATTTTTACCTGGACTTCTCCAAAGGGGCTAGAATTGAGTTTAATCTTTACTGTTTTTTTTTTTTTTTTTAAGATTTTATTTATTTGACAGACACACAGCGAGAGAGGGAACACAAGCAGGGGGAGTGGGAGAGGGAGAAGCAGGCTTCCCTC